TAGGGAAAGCAGCAAAGACAAAGCAGTGGATTGACTTCCAAAACTATCAGCCTTTGTCAATTAAAATATTTACTTTTGACACAAGTCTTAATTAGTTAAAAACATTTAATCCAATCTTAAAATAGAAGTTCAAGCTACCCAATTTAATCTTGGAACAGTCACTTGCTCTCCGGATTAGGAAGACAATGGCATCCAGAGCAAGCATGAGCCCTCTCCCCTCTTATTACAGTTAATCAGGAACATAAATACTATAATGGAGCTGAGCCCCTGCAAACTCACCAGGCTGTGCATAATTTCCACTCCAGCTGGATTCACTGTGAGCGCTTCATCATACAATTGCTTAGCCTCCTCCAAATTGCCTTTCATCTCTGCAAGCCTCCCACGCATGTACAGTACAGCATGAGATGTGGGGAAAAGACTAGCTGCCTCCAGGATACAAAAGCCTGCTTCTTTGAGATGCTGTTGTTCCATGAAGAGTTCAGCTAAAAAAACCAACAAAACAAAACAAAACAAACAACCCCTACCATTAGTTGAAGTAAGTCAGAGACCTTTCTTCACATTAATTACAAATCATTGCCCTTAAGCATACTAAAACACGAGGCCATGATCCTGCACAGTGCTTACTACTATGGTTAGTGCTTACTGTCACAAATCGATTCACTGAATGGACTTTTTTTAATGCTAAGAGCTCTATACAGATGTTCACTGACATCTTCAGGTGTTGTCCTGAGAGACAACAGTCTTAAGGATTCCTCAGTCAGGAATGTCAACAGTGCTCAACTGAGCCCTAAGGAAGCAGGGCTAGTAGCCACCTGGAGCCATCATATGTATTTCCAAGTATTCTAGGAGGGAAAAGGAACAGAATAAGCCATATAAGTTCTCAGTCTACTGAGAACTTTAAACAAGTCAGAGTAATAGAATACATCTGACTGAGCTGGACATTAGATAACTTATTTTTTTTAAAGTATTAGAAGTGTTTCTATCTGCTTATTAGTGTAGTTTATGAGATAGCTGTCTCTTGTTTTTCAGAGACTATTAAAATCAAAAGGCTTTTATCATAGCGACTTATTTATATTGTGTATTCACACATTTACTTCCTCATACATACTCTACAGAAAATCAAAAGAGAGCTCTTGCCCAGTCACTTTCTTAAACTACCAGTTACCTCTACTATCTTAGATGTTTTCTTAGGAAAAAAAAAAAAAAGTAACAGACATACTCATGTGCTTGACTGTCAATTTGTTAATCAAATAATTTCTCATGTTAAACATAAATTGTATAGCATTGCTAAACTAACATTTCTCAGGGTTTGGACTAGGTCATTGTTGGACTAGATGATCATTGTAGGTTCTTTCCAACTGAAACAGTCTATTGTAATTCTAGATTTATTACACATTAAATCCTTGAAAAAGACTTCAAAAGTGATAATATTCACTGCCACATGTAACTGAAAAGTGAAACTGTGTTTTTAGATATATATATTTATGTATGCATATATGTATATAAAATAATTCTCCCTCTTCATACAGCAGCCATTGCTCTTTGGTTTATAAACTGTGTCCTATACATTATCACTGACAATCATATTTTTTACTGATGTGGTAATGCAGTATTAATAGTTCAAGAGTCCTATTCAAAATTACTAATCCAGGCTCCAGATTTAGATAAAAACTTCTGAAATTAGACATAGCCTCAAATAACCTGACTTTTAAAGGCAGTGAATATCCTCAGGAACTCTCTGTGAGGGGGGAAATCAGCCTGAAAATTCCTTTTAAATAGCTTTGAAACTCTGCTGGTTTCAAAACTCTGGGAGACCCATATGACTGTGGGGCTTGGAATGGTGACCATGGACCTTGTTGGGTAGAGGTGAGCAGGAGAGCATCTCAAAGGCAGTCCTGCTTGAAGATGGAAAGGCTCCTCCTTGGTCTGACATGAGGCTGGGACCACAAATAGCACTTCTGTTAGCACACTGAAAACGACTGTGTACTGAAATGACAGCACAGCTGAACACCCACTTCTGAAGTGGTCCTTCTAGAGGAAGGGTGAGACATTGCCAAGAGAATGCTCAAATGTTTCTTAGCCATCCCTAGGTTCTGGTAGAGATAAATGTCATTCTCCAAGGCTGTCAACTTGAGCAAAATACTAGTTCCTTGGTAAGAGCTATACTCCTTAAAAAAAGAGTGACTCATATACATTTCTCTCTGGTTAATCATTATAAAATCTCAGCATGCATCCTCTCCCTTGGCTCCAAGAGTCTGTAGCTATCTATAATAACAGAAAACAAGACCCTCTGCCTTGTCAAGCTGAGTATGTGTGTGGTCTTACTAAAAATTTTAAGGGAGGACAGCATTTTACTTGCATTTCACTAGGAATAGAGCATTTTCCTGCTAAGTGCTGCATAGCAGCTGATGCAGTGCATGTGGCAATAATGAAGATGGGGATGTGCAAAGTGAGGATTCACAGCCTGAAGATAAACAATTCATTTGCAAAGTTAGCACAAACTTAGCAGCACAAAAGAAGGGGTGAAATCCTGGTACTGACTGAAGTCAGCAGAATTTCTGGATACTGCCATATTAAAAGCTCTGTTAGCAACTAACAGCATAATGTGACCTGTTTCATTTCAGAAAAGAATGGGGAGCAAGGGGGTTTAGATGTGAAATCACACACAGCTGGTGTTTCAATGCATACAAAATGGAGAGCACTTACTCTTTCTTTCAACAGTGCCTGTAAATCTTCTTCAGTAATAACAATTATTTAGAGGAAGTGCAGCAACACAGAATCTAAATAAGATCTACAAATTGTATTTTATGGTATGGTAATGTAGCATATTAAAGTTCGGTCCATTTCTTTGCAGGCTCAATAGTCAATAAAAATGATTTAATGGTGTGGGAGCCCTAATTTGCATTAAAAAAAAGAATGAGAGAGGTGCCTTTGGGTTACAAAAAGAAAGGAGTGTACCCACCCAGCTAAAAATAGACATTAAGGGAATTAATTTAGGCCTGCATTAAAATGTGTCTTCTCTAAACTCATTTTTCATTTATTTACATACTCATTTTATTTATAGATTAACAAGATACTCTTACACAACACGGAATAAAAACACAGATAGAGGTAGAAATCAAACCCAAAAATTGAGGACTCAAATTGGTCATGGCACTATAACTGCCTCCTCAAAGATACTGCAAGTACTGAAACTCCTGCCTTTGTATAACCTGGGTTAGCAGCTTCCTGTCCACTGGATTATCCAGCATATCTCCTTATATCATTTAATCATGCTGTAAATAAACATATACCCAGATCAGCAGCTTTTGCAAGAAGTTTTATTATAGAGATGTTGCACCTGATTCTACTATGAAAGAGGGTATCTCCTCAGACTGACACACAGGTAGAGAAGATCTGTAATTCTTACCCTGCGAAAGGTTCAGTTCTTCAGAGAAACCATTTACAAACCTCCAGCTATTGGACTACATTGTACTTGGTACTGACATTTGCATGTTTGAATCCAAAGGCCATGTTTGTGAGCTTCCTTTCTCTCTCACTTAACACCATCTTCATAAAAACTTAAACAAATTTACATTTTGTTTTGAACCAAGGACCACCAAAAGCTCTCTGGAATGCTACTGAACAAAGAGAGATTATCATCCTGGATGTAGTATCTCATCTATTAGCATATCTGCAGTAATGCTAGAAATTCTGAGTGTGAATTATTATTAGGAAATACTTCAGCACTTTTACCTATAGGTATGGGCTGAGAGTGCACAGCATAGATGGGCAAAGACAGGATGAATCATGCACTCTCCTTTCATTCACTAATCGAAGCTTGAGCTGGCACCCACTGAGATCACAAGCAGCTATCCAGCTGACTCCAAGGTCCAGCCTAGCTTGATTAATTTCTGTCCCATATCCACCTTATGCTTTCCATCCATGCTTTCCTGCAGTACTGTCCAGCCTGCTCTGCTGTTCTTCTGAACAAATGTCGTCTCCTCTTATGGCTATAGCTGCCTCTGTCTTGGCTTGCAACTAGACTTCCACTGATACACCAGCCTTAATGCTGGGCCCAGTTCCTGAGAGCAGCACGCATCTTCACTCAGATGATCGTTAACTCCTAATACGAGCTCCTTGTTCTTCCAGCTGTTTCTGCTAGCATTAAAGCTCAGTTACAGTGAAGCTCCTTAATCAGGTAAGAACTGCCAGAAGCGTATCATCTACTCACTCTCCAAAGACCAGTAACCTATGCACAGACTGAGGGCACGTCCCAGAAGACTGACAAAGCTGAATCTCCTGCAGTCAGGCTCCTTTCTCCATCTCAAGATAAATTCTTTGACAGACCTCTGTCAGAGTTCAACAGAGGAGTAACAACAGTGTAATCTAGTCATGTCTACATTCACAGTACTAGTTTAAGGAACAGAGCTCCCTGCTATCACCTTGAACACTGACGCTGTTTCCCATTTCCTACATGTTTCAAAGCAGTGCCAAGACTGATTGTGCTTGTCACCACAGAAGCAGCAACAACTGTAATTCTAGCCAAAAAATCAAATGGATTTAAAATGTGTTCTTGTGATGTGAACAACTTAAGAATTAAAATTTCATTCCCCGCAAATCACGTTTGGTGTAATCCAAGACACAGCACTTAACTCCCACAAGCAGTCTGCTCCACATTGCTTGGTTGTGTGTGCCCATTGGATCTAAGGAACTTGTCTACTCTAGTCCACCCCAAAAATGCTGCTGCACAGTGATGTGGCCCACACAATGCAGCTAGATGACTGGCAGGATGGTACAGTGCGGAGCAGCCTTTCACACTTAAAGAAGGTTAGAGCACCTGCAAGGATGGGTAGGAAGATGATTCCTGTTCCACATCATCTGCCTTCAGAAGCTATTAATACTTTTTTTACTGCAGTAGCCCTTAGCTAGCTGGAAAGACACACTCCTGTAGGACAGCTCTGACTTCAGCAGTGAGTACAGAGCTATTACCATGACAAAGGGAAAAAAATGTAACCTGCTACCTTTCCTGTCTGGCAGGTGACAGTTTAGCAGTTGTTCTATATTATGACACCACCCCACACACAGTAGCTTGAGAAGATGCCAGCAGATTAGATGGAAGACTTCTCAAGCTGTACCCTGACTGCAGTAATTTAATTTGATGCAAACCTTTGATACAGAAATGGAGAACAGAAACTGCCACATGTTCCCCTTCACCTGAGCTCAGCTGCTTGCTCTTTTGAATGAGACAATAGGTTTACATCCTCAAAGGCTGCCTTTGCATGCAAACCGGTAGTTAGCTGGAGCCCAGGGACCTGCTTTAAATTTCCAAGCTTCAGGTCTCTTCCGGGGCTGAAAAGGCCACTAAGCTTATGTGCAAATGCAGCATTAGGATGAACAGTTCTGGAAACAACACAGAACTACCACAAACTAACTTCCACAGAAAATGGTGCAGTCAAAACATCACTTGAAATACTATAAGATAGCTGATTCCTTTATGTGA